TCCCCCTCTCCTTCGTTGCAATTTTGACATTTGTTCGGTCGATGGTGTTGTTCTTCCATGCCGGCGGAGTTAGTCTTCACTCCAGTGCGCATATTCCGTTTCCAGGATTCTTATACATAGAATTTGTCGGAGCTTCCTCTTATCCACGCTATAAACCCTAGTTTTCAGTTATGCGTTATGGTATTTTTGTATTCTATTTTTTGGCATGCATTTTCCCTGCTGTGTTTCCTCTGTCATAGAAGAAGAGAAAAATGTTCCCATGACATGCCATATAAGAAGAGACTTGCTACAAAGGAAAGGGGAAAAAAATGTTCCCATCAAGCTCAAAAGGAAAAATCAATGGACAAAAATCAAATATCTAAGAAGAGGAAGCTTTAGACTGATGATGAATTTGAGCAGAGCAAGGGTGAAGGTCCTTAGGCAACTTGACCGCAAGAATAGGCATTGGTGCATTCTTCAAAGGATCTTGGAGATGCTTTATGAATAACACAACATATGTCATGGTTTAGAGAATGCATCTCACAGCCCAAGCCGTGACATTTACAAAAAGAGGCCATGACCTTTTACAGACTTTCACTAGCATTTCACACATGCTGCGGGTGTTGCAGAAGTCACAGTTACAAACTGTGACATTTACAAAAGAGGTCGCGACTTTTGACAGACCTTCAAGAGCGATTACACATGTCACAACTGGCCAACACATGTCACAGTTTAAATCGAGACATGGGCAACACATCTGTAACCTGTGTAATTGATACGACGGGTTTTTGGCCGACGTCACCGTCATTATTGAATGTCATGGCTATGTTGTAAAATTGTGACTTGCACACTCTCGAACTAAATAAGATCCGAAGCCATTTTTGTAAGGGAGATAAATTTTAGAGAGAAGCGAGAGCAACACCCTACTTGAGAGAGAAATTTATGAAGGAGGAACCGTAGAGGTACCATCCTCACAAGATGATTTCTCTTATTGAGTTTGCATTTTCCTCTCTTTCTCTCACTATATATGGAGTAGACTCCATTCTCACTTAGATGTGTAGATTTCTAGCCATGTACGTTAAGGTTTGATGATTGATGAATCCCATGCTTGTTACACTCTCGATTATAGATTGAACTGAAGTATTTATTATGAGATTGATTGAGTATTAATCGCACTCTCCAATTTTAGCTATTGGCATAAGAAAGAGAATATCTAATTATAGAGCATCTTAAATTCTTCATTGTGGGTCAGTTGAACAAGTGTAATTTGGTCTATAATGTCGTATCGGATTGAGATCCTTTAGAGGGAGTCAAATTTGATGCCTTATGTGTTCAATGCCGATTATGGAAACTCTTCGTCCGGGTAGTTCATCTAAGTATGCATGGATAACTCGAATAGGGAGTCCAAACTAGTTTAGAACTCTCCGCGACGTAAATTTAGAGTGGACAAGTGAGGGGAAATCAAAATCGACCTAACTTAGGGATAGAGAGAAGCAGACTCGAGTGATCTTCTCTTAATTGAATTCAAACAATTATCCCTTTTCTTTGCTTAGTTAGTTTCTTAATCCAAACTACATCTTGTTAGTTAGATAAAGATTACTTCATCTAGTAGTAGTAGACTTAGGGCCTGGGTTGATAAAACAAACTTACTTAGCCTATATTGCACATAATTGATGGTTATACTTGGTCATTAGTTGGGAAGTGTAGTTAGATCTGAGTCAAGTATTTGGCGCCATTGCCGGGACGTGACTAAGTTCTTGAGAAAGGTGAACTATTGTTACTTTATCTTTTAAGTTTTGGCATTTTTGTTTCATTTTACATTCACTTTTCACAGTTGTGTTGTTTGAGGTGTGCTACAGGTATTTTATGATCCGGAGTAATTCAGAGAACTTGCAATCGCTTGACCTAAAAATCCACTAAACCTTTCATTTCTTGCAAGGGAAAGATATAACTTAGAGAAGCTCGGGAGAGGTTAGTAATATACAACCCCCGGAAGAAGAAGTCAAAGTTGAGGATATGGTCAAAGAAAAAAAAACATGCGGGTGAGTTGGATAGGACCATAAGGTGCTACTTTACCCCAACGGTCGAGGATATTCGGCCAAGCATCCAACATCCCCATATTGCAACCAATAATTTCGAGATCATGACGATTGTCATCTTGATGATTCAAAACAACACCCAATTCTTAGGTCTCAACCATACAACACCAAGAGATCATAACAACAGGTTCTTGGAGCTCACGGATGAGATCAAGGTGACCAGAGTACCAAAGATGCACTCCGATTGAGATGTTCACTTTTTCCACTAGTGGACAAGCATAAATGTGGCTCAACAACCAAACACCTCTCTATTTCACTTCTTGGACAGATTCAATAAAGAAGTTCATGTTTCATTATTCCCCACCATCCAAGATGGTCAAGCTTCAAAAAGCCATCACTCACTTCACCCAAGAAGATGATGAGACTCATAGAGATGCTTAGGAGAGATACACCGGGTTGTTCTTGAAATGCTCTCGCCATGCCCTAGATGATTTCCAAGCTATGATGGAGGCAACCACACCCCAATAACAAGTTGAATTAATTGTTATGCTAGGGAGGATCAAAAAGCTGGGCTGTATGCTATTTCACTCCTAAGTAGAAAGGTAACTCAAGAGGCACCCCCAAAGAAAGATGCAGAAGTGGGTCTTCCTCCACCGGTTATAGAAGAAGAATCCATTGAAGAAAAGAAAGAAGAGGCCTGGAAGGAAAAATTGACACTACGTGTGGTTGAATACAAGTCTCAAATTCTTTTTCCAGCCAGAATGCATAAGGATCACTTTGAGATCGAGTTCAGCAAGTTCATGGATATTCTGAAGAAACTTTATATCACCATTCCATTCTTGGATGCTATAGCTCAAATGGCAAAGTATGCCAAGTTCTTAAAGGAGGTGCTGACCAAGAAGAAGAAGAAGAAGCTTAGTGACATTTCCATGATGAAGCTTAGTGAGAGATGCTCCGCCATCCTCCAGAACAAAATTCCTCAAAAAAAAAAAAAAAAGATTCAGAGAGTTTTACTATCTACCGTCACATAGGTGCATTGCATATAGAATGCCATGCCTTAGAAGTTTTTCATGAATTTAGGCTAATGTGGTCTTAAGGAAATTTGAATGAGTGTGCAATTAGCTGATAGATCCGTTGTTTTCCCTATGGGCATCGCAGTGGACCTTCTAGTCTAAGTGGGAAAATTCTACTAATACATATTTTTTTATCCTTGACATTCATGAGGATGTAAAAGTACCCCTTATACTAGGAAGACCCTTCCTTGCCAGCGCCAAGACCTTAATTGATGCGAATAAATGTTTGATTCTAAGAGCAGGTGATGAAAAAATCACCTTATCCGTTGCAAATAATGAGAAATTAGTACCTATGCATGATCTTGATGTTAAGCATGAGGTGAAAAGGAAACTTAAGTCTTCTAAGGATAATTCTATACTTCGGTTAATGCTTTGACCAATTGTGTAGGCAAGTTTTTTGTGCTTCTTATGTTTGAAATGAAATAGGTTCCTGAACCTCCCATGTGGCCTACGCAAATTCTAAAAGAGTGTGGAGACCCAAAATGATAATCCCGAAGAGGCCGTCACTTTTGACAGACTTCCAGTAGCATTTCACACATGTCCCGGGCATTGTAGAAGTCATGCTTACAACTCGTGACATTTACAGAAGAGGCTGTGGCTTTTGAAAAACCTTAGAAAGAGCATATCTAAATAGGTTGATTATAACATCTTTAATTCTCCATTGTGAGTCAATTGAATGAGCGTGATTTGGTCTACAATGTCGTACTGGATCGAGATTCTTTAAAAAGAGTCGAATTGCACGTCATAGGTGTTCTATGTCGGTTGTGGAAACTCTCCCTCCGGGTAGTTCATTTCAGTGTGCCTGGATAACTCGAATAGGGAGTCCAAGCTAGTTTAGAACTCTCTGAGGTATAACTTTAGAGTGGGCAAGTGAAGGAAAATCAACATCGACCTAACTTAGGACTATAAAGAAGCACACCCGAGTGATCTTCTCTTAATTGAATTTGAATCATTATCGCTTTGCTTTGCTTAGTTAATTGCTTAATCTAAACTACATCTTGTTAGCTAGATAACAATTAGTTCCTCAAATAGGGGAGCGGTTACGGTGCTAATTGTACAATAGTTAGCATCGTCCTAACCAAGGGGAAAACTACTACTAGTTTGAATTAGTAGTGATTTAGCTTAGATGTTGTATTGATTTTATAATAATCCGTCTACTAGTTTGAATTAGTAGTGATTTAGTTTAGATGTTGTATTGATTTTATAATAATCCATAGTGATTTCGTTATTTTTAGTGGCGTTTTTTGCTAGTTATCACGGTGCTAACCCCTATAAGGGTTAGCACCTAATCCCATTCCCTCAAATAGTAGTAGACTTAGCACCCGAGTTGAAACTAACCATATATTGGCTCAACAACTAAATGCGTGGGATCATTTACTAACCATATATTCTTTTTTTGTTTTGTTTTGTTGAAACTAACCATATATTCTATGTTCAAGCATGTGTTAATAATCTTATCAACCACAATATATATTTCACAAATATTATTGTAAGCTATCTAGCTACTACTATCAATTCATATATATCCCACACATCATGTTTCTTCTCGAGTTAACAATAATTATTAGTCAAATCTTTTTTGCATTTTTTATTTTTATCCAAATCTATGGAATTATTAATAATTAGTCAAATCTTTTGTATTGTATCAAAATGTTAGTCGTTTTTCCGTTACCGTTAATAATTTTGTAACTCTTTTCTTTGTTCAAATACACAAGTTTTGGAATGTTGACCTCCATGTGTCTCTTTCAAATTAATATCATCATGTTAACAAGTTAATATTACTAACAAAATTGCTAACGATAGGTTAACTTTTGGCTAATATTAATTAGTAATTGATCGGGATTAAATTGGCTAATAAGAAAGAATGTAGTGTATACCAGATCTTCTTTCTTCATAAAACAACCTCCTCAATGAGGATAAATCTCTATTGCAATTTTCCATTCGATTAATTCAGCAATTACATCTAAGCTCCCCCCTAAAATTCTCATTAGAGAGTCCTTCGAATATGTAAAAATATTAAGGAAAAGATGAAAAAATATTAATCCTTCTATTGATCATCGACTTCTACTCTAGTTTCTAAACATTTACTAGCTTCAATCCCCCACCTACATCTTCACAATGTACAACACTAAAAGAACCCCCTCCCTCTTCACCATCAACCCTAACCCCTACCATGTTGCCACCATAACTAGGAGGAAAATGGAAACACGGCTCCATCGAAACCGCCCGTCGACAAGCATTCCCCCACAGAGTTTCCCCTCCGCCGTACTTGGTATCCGGAATCTGCAGAATCCAAGGTCTCAACCCTCCAAGACCTTGAGCCACATACCCGAAAGTCGACCAACCGCTCGTCACCAAAACGTCGCACAAACTCAACAGATAGATATCAACCCACGCCATCATGTTGTGCGTACCGTCGTTCGAACGTTGCACCTCTTCGTGACTAGCCTGGTGAAACCCTACTGCAACTTCTCCATCCGAACCTGTAGAAGCACTTGCTCTCTTCCAAAACATGTCCTTCAATTCGACGTAGAATTCGCTGGACAACGACGCCACTAGAACCGCTTTGTTATACGATGTTTTCTTGCTCGCGAGCTTCTTCGTGTCGGTCTCATTTTGTTTGGTTGCTAAAGGTGGAAGGATCTGAGCCTCTTTCTGTGCGCACCTCAGAACCTGCTTTAGGACTAGAGCCGTCGGGCTGGCTTTCGAGTCGAGCACGCGGATCTGAAGCCCGATTCTCTCGTCAGCATTTGCCAGGTAAGCATCGTAGAACCTGGCGATGAGCCCCCAGGCTTGATCCGACGGGGTGAATAGGTATCTCCCGAGGTGGTGGAAAACAGTCTCCTTGTCAGGAAACATTCTGTCCAGCTTCGCCCTGAATCCTGACATCAGGAAAAGGTAAGGAACGAAGTATTGGTCCGATTTGAGAATTAGCCACGGGACTCTTTGGAGACCGTCTTGAACCCCGTTGCTATAGAAAAGCTTGTCGTAGTCGTCGTAACCGTATCCAAGGTTCACATGTAGGAACGATGAGGAATTGTTCGCTAGCACTGCAGTATGATTATTATTATTCTTCATCAGGCTGCCAAAGTCGTCGACTTTGGAGCCATAGATCCTGTTCCCGAAACGGGAGTCTTCGGGAAACAACCAGGTTGAGTTTGGAACCGGTTCGGAGAAGAGGTGCATCATGTCAGGGCCGAAGTCGACCAGAAGAACCCGGTTCGTGAGGAGAGCGTAGAGAAACGCGGAGGACATGCTGAGCATCCTGTTGCCCAGCCCGTTGGTGGGTCGGGTGAAGACGACGTAGCTGCAGTCGTCATCGTCAACGTGGGATGGCTGGTGACTTTTGATGGAATAGTTTTGTTTCTTCGCGCCCACGGGCGACGATGATTCTTGGAAAAAACTTCGGTTGAAGGATTTGGAGAGAGGCTCGCAACGCTTGTGGCGTTGTTCGTAGTCTTGGAGCATGGAGAGAAGGTAAGGAGATGGAGGTTTGCGATAGCTTGATGAGCTCTTATGGCAATGACGCCTGCTGGCACATGATGATTTTCCCGGCTCGAGTTCTTCTTTCAGCTTGATTGGGGAAATCGGTAAGGCGATGATCAGCAAAAGAGATGCGGCTGTACAAGCAGCTACTGTGGTGGCTACAAACGTGGACTTGAATAACCTTCTTGTCTTGGGGAATTGGAATTCCTCCGGTGCTGTTTCTGATGAATTGAAATTCAAGGTGTACATTGTTGCAAATCACAATCATCTGTTTTTTTAACGTTCTTTCTGAATATTTTCTTTTTGCGGGCAAATTTCAAGCAAGCAGACCTATAAGAGGGTTTATTGTTGTATTATGAGAGAAAGTAGAATGAACGTGACACAAAGAAGTAGAAGATTATCATAAGAAAAAGAACTATTGAAGCTCTCGTGTTTTCGTTGTACTTTGATGCACCAATTGTAAATGTAAGTACCCTACGATTTGAAAGAGATGAACACGAATTTGGCTGGAGTCCTAGCCAAAAATGGCGGTAATGAAGAAGAAAGAAAAATGATGAGGAGACAATGAATAATTAAATCAGTGGAGGCAGTTGATGTTATCATTCAATGCTCGTTTAAATTAGCGAGTTGGCCACTGACAGGGAGAGAAACAAGGATAATTTTGGGGGGTGTTACATAATCTGGGGATCCTGTGGTTTTTAGGATTTAAGTTTTTTCACATTTTTTTTTTTTTTGAAATTGCACTCGTAAAAAGCATTGAATGAGACGTGGGTCTTTAAATGAAGTTTACGGCACCAGAGCGAACAATATATAATCCCTATGTATGGCCAGGCCATCTGATTGATTCAGAATTGCAGGTTCTGCTATGATTACATAATAAACGTTACGCTTCAGGATTCCAACATTTTCCCAATTTACTTTTCCCTTTCATTTTAGTGAAAACTTCCAATTTTGAATCTCTCATTGAAGAAACTACACCTAGTCCCAGCCCGTTGGCCGGATATAATGCGTATAATAATAATAGCAATAGTACAAAGTGATATATGTATATTTATTTAATATCATAAAAGAATATAAATTATTCAATTATTAAAATTTTGAAAATAAATATAAGCTATATAGTTTTCGGACATCCTAACGGACTCATCGATGAAGTCTTTACTGAAATTAGAAAAACAAAACTCATGCAATGAAGTCTTACAGAAATAACAAATAAATAAAAACTTATTGGTGAAGTCCTTACTTATTCAAACTGCACTTCGTCCGAAATTACTGCACATCGGAGACCTTCTTTGTGATTGCTCTGCCATCAACAAAATCATCATTTCTGCTAATAAATAGATTCTTCTCCATTAAAGAAACCTTTATCTCCAACACCAATTGATTCTTCTTTCTTCTCTTGCATTTTCATTGAAAGTCAAAATTTAATGGTGAAATATATGCAAATATGAAACATCATGTCCAAGTCATGGACATTGTGGAAGATTTGCTCTTTCTCATGGCAGCTCTTTCTCCCGGCACAGAAACTTCTATCTACACCATCAACAGTCTTTTCCTTCTTCTCAACAACGTCATTATCTTCACCGTATCTACTACGTCTACTATCAGAATACTATTTCTTCTTCGCTTGCATTCTATTGAAATAAAAAATCATGGTAAATATGAAAACGTCATTTTTTGGAAGTAAAATTTACATCATCAGAGCCTTGGTTTGCTCGTTGTCATTCTTCCTTATCTTTAAAACTGTATATTCACTAATGAGATTCATGATATTTTAATTAGTTAGTTTGTTGTCGAATTTCAACTCAATTTACTTATTTTGTAGGATATGAGTTGGCGAAGGCTCTCAGATTCTATTAATATCTTGGATTAGCTTCTCGGCAAGCATTATGAAAAATCTACCTCTATAGTAATCCAAAACCACAAAGTCAAATTCAATGGCTCTTTCCAAGAGAAGGATATCGAATCTGTAAAATAACAACAATTGAAATTCACCATTTAGTTCAAAATTTCAAGTTTTACGGGGACAAAGCTTCATTTTAATGAACAAATGAATTTGAAGTTAAAAAGAATGAAGAGTAGAGTTAGATTGTTACATACTTATTGTTATATTTAACATTGTTGTACCATTCCTACTAAAGTACCTATGAGAGTCTACTTTGACTTTTCGTTGATAGGTTTTCGCATCCAACACATTATTATCTATTCCTAACTTTGACAACTTTACATTGGATAAATACATTGTTCTAAATATTACATAAAATGTAACATTTGAATATTAGTAAGAACATTTTTTTAAACGGCTAACTTATAACAAACATTAAACTATATTGATTCAAATGTTTGACCTATCCACAAAGTCAACTTCACAATCAATCATCTATACCCGAATTGTATATCATACCTGGAATTAAAATGCAAATTGAAAAAAATCACAATATGGAAGCTTTCCTTGGATCTTTTTGCTAGTAAATTTACTGAAAATTATTGGCATGCTTAATGCAACTTATTAATATGTTTCTCTTAGATTATAAGTTAGTCATCTCACTTTTAAAGCCTTGTATATATAAAAATAGATCGAAAACAAATGTCAAATTAATGGATTGTATTGGGCATACTTACTATCGAATATGCATGACAAAAGTTATCATTGTCGGCTTTTAGTGTGATGTCATCTTGGGTAAGTTATGTCTAATTCATTTTGTTTATTAGGTTTGTGAATCAATTTGATAAACACAACGAAAAAAATATAAAGCAACACTTTAGTTTTAGGGTTTAATCAAGAATCAATTTGCTAATAATAAATTTAGGATTTGTTAGGCCGTAGCAATTAAATATGTTGTCTTTTGCGGATTGATTTCGGCCTAGAATTAAAGCTATTATCAGGCTAAAATAAAATGTCAAAAAATTCCTTCCTTGCTTCACGCAGAGAGAGGAAAAAGTGGTTTATGTGGGTTCCTATGAAGAACCTCCTTATATTGTTTTGAGGATGAGAATGAGGATAGTTACATAGATGGATTTCCTCGATAAGTTGAGTTATTAGAATTAATTGGCTTATGATATGATATCAGAGCGGATATAATCAAGAGATTGTGTGTTCGAATCTGTACAATTCGACCAATTAATTTAAACACAAGATATGATGAGTTTGATATCAGAGCTGATATAATCAAGAGATTGTGTGTTTGAATCTGTACAATTCGACCAATTAATTTAAACACAAGATATGATGAGTTTGTGCAAACTTCCGTCATGAGTTGGCTATGACAATCGAAGTTGGCTATGGCAAATTTCCGTCAATAAGAGGGCGGATCTAGTGGCTAAGGGGGGTGCTTAGTCACTTGACTAAGCCCCTCCCAGCCCTTAGATCTGGACACACCAATCTGACGGTTAAAAAGTGGGAAGAGCTTTTTAATTAATGACAGGGGTAGTTTGAGTATTATGAAAAATTACGAAGTATACAAACCGTACTTACAAACATTACAAACCGGACTTACAAACATTACAAACCATACAAACTATAACGACAAAACATACAGACAATAATACGAAACATACGAATTATACAAACAATACAAACAAGACTGACAAACATAATAACAGTTCAAAATGCCACTACTTACAATACAACACAGTAAACTTGTATTACAAATCAATGAATACAAAGTATACAAAATCACAACATAAAGTAAACTAACTATACAAACAAACATTACAAATTACAATGTATATAAATTAGTCATCTAAGCATTACAAACATAAAAGACAAAAATGACAAACTAGAATGATAAACGATACAAACCGAATTAATCCAAAATCACAAAACATACTTACAAACATTACAAAATTGTCCGACAAACATAACAAAACAGACACTGTCGCCAGAAAATTCTTTCCGCAGCTGCCAGAAAATTCGCTGATGACGAGATCTCTCTCTACCTCCCTACCACTCTGCATCGGTGGGGATTGTGGAAAATAAACTAAAAATCGCAGGGGAGGAAGGTATTTCTCTCTGCATTGGTGGAGATTGGGGAAGATGACGTCGACGCCAGGTGTAGGCCCACCTATTTTTATTTTTTAATTGGAAAATAATTAAATTATGTAATTACTTTGCTACCCTTCATTAAAAGAGATCAATTGGAGTCATTAGATTTAAATGAGGTTCAATGGCTGAGATTGACTTAGTTTTTTTTTTTTGACTTAGTGACACGCTAAAATACAACACTAAACTGCGACCAAGTGTAATCACAGTCCAGAAATGCAGAATAGTGGCAAGTTCTATTTATCAACCCGGGGTCTAGATCTACTGCCTACTCCGTGATTTTCTATTATCTAGCAGACTAAGTTGAGTAAATGTGATTTTAAGCTAAAGCAGTAAGAAAGCTGGAAATGGTTCGAGGTTCTTAAGCAGGGGAAGAGTCACTCGGGAGTTAGTCCACCTAGCTCCTTAGTTAGGTCAAAGTTGTAATTACCTTTGGTTGATTTACTATTGATTAAACCGCGGAAGGTCCGACAGTAGCTTGGAATCTCTTAAGATGACCAAGCCCTCTCAGACAGACTAACCGGCAGGCGACTAGCCTTCACAGGGATAGACTGCTGAGGCAATCAACACAGAACTCCATTGCTGGAATTGGATTTCGGTACAAAGCAGAAAATCGATTAACTCTCGTATAATCAATTTACTACTACTGATTGATGAAGCTCTAACAACCTAATCAGATTCTATCTATCTCAAGTTGCAGCAGAAATCAAGAAGAGTTGATCAGGCTTCAATTGATTCAATGAATCATGCAGCAATCGATTAAAATCAATCAGTATATCAATCCAAAGTCATTACAATCAAGATTCCTAACACATGGAACTAGGGTTCTTCATACCCAAGTGAGAGAAGGTTCTACTCCCTAGAGAGAGAGGAAAACAGAAATCAAAGCAGTCATACTCATTAAGATGGGGATAATCTGCTCTGGGATGTCGATCTTCACTCCTGGGGATGCAATCTGGGCTTCAATGGTGAGAAATCCACTCCAAATAGCTCCTAGGGTTTGTTCTTTGCACTTTCTCTCTCTAAAACTCTGTTTTCTGCTCAAAATGTCGATTCTCTTCTTTTAGCTCGAATTTGCCTCTAATAACCCGATTCTGGGCGAAATACAGGAAGAAATACGGTCGTAATTCTTCCCTACCCATATATTCCCCAAAACACACGTTTTCGTTAAGTCTCAGCGCATCCAAGGCTCTTCTCGGCAGTGAAATTACGGGCTAGACATTGAGAAATACAACCGTATTTTTGGAAATACTGACCATATTTTGTACCTGAGCCATCACAAGGATCGGCATAAAAAATACTGGCAGTAATTTGTGAATTACGGTCGTAATTTAGGGAATACAATGGGTAAATTGTGAATTACGATCGTATTTTTAGGGAGTCTGCCCTTATTTCATTCTCAGCTCCAATTTGAGAGGATTTTGAGTGACCAAACGACCTTCGATTGACCCGAAACTTGCGCCTATGCCTCCTTTTATTCGCTAGGACCTGAAATATGACAAAATAACACAACTTAGCGTAAAATAGGCCAAGAAACCACAAATTGGAGCCAAAACGATTAAGAAACAAGTGTGCAAACATGTGCAAATATGGTGCTATCACTTAGTCATGTGACTAAAGGACCCCCATAGTCACCTGATCTTAGCCCGTACAAATAAGAGTTAACCAAAACAAATGGGGGAATAGATTTTGGTTAAGTAGCGATTATGAATCAAAGGTTGTGATTTAAAATAGAATATACA